AGAAGTCTAAGTCTAAGTCTAGACTAAGAGTTAACTTGAACGTTGAAGGGCGTCCTTTTTTTCCCGTCACTCACTGTATATGCTTTACTGTATCTCATTCATTTTTTGTGTCTCGTGCTCTGATGATTTTTCACTGGTTTTCTTCCACTTAGATTCTCTCAGATTCACTTTCCATCTTTCCACCAGGACTCACATTCACTTTCTTTATCTTTTGGTTTTCATTTCTTTCTAAAAACAGTTTTATTTATTTCTTTCACCAGTCTCCATTTCCCACATTTTTATATTTATTTCTTCTTATTTTTGCTTCTCTCCCTTGTCTCTCCTGTCTGTAGGCCGGCACACTCATGCAACGGATATACCTGCACACACACAGGTCTCTCTCAGCCATCAGAGGCTCCATTACAGCAGTACAGGAACCATCTGTTGGTCTGAATTGAATCCTGCTCAATTAGCATTTCATTTGCATATGATTAGCATGTCATTAATGGAGCATTATGCAGAGTAATATGATTGCTAAACGAGTTTTGCTTTCCCCACTGAGTAAAAACCTCTGTTCTGCTAATCGCTGCTGGCTCACCCTTCCTACTATCGAGAAGTGTGTGTGTGTGTGTGTGTGTGCGTATATAGCTGAATGACTGTGGGGGTGAATGTCCGGTAATACATGCATCCCTGTTGGCTAACTTTTATGTGTTTTTTAGCTCTGTGTTTGTGTGCTTGTGTGATGCTATTGTTACAATACCAACTGGGCTTAGGTTTGTTGGTCATGTCAGCAACATGAAGACATTGGGAAGATAATAGAAATGTTTGTTTCTCATATTAGTTTGAATAGAAGATGACATTTCTTTCTAGAAATGATATTTGAAACAGTGGGGGTTATCATTCTATTTGAGGGACAACACATTACAAAACATGCAATACATGTTCACAACAGATGTTCTCATTGAGCATGTTTCCTGTTATGGGTCAACCTGACATGCACTGATTAAATATATTCACAAATAGAAAAATATTTAATATTTAACAACTATTTAATAGATACAACCATGCTTACAAAATGTTATACTTTGTTTTTTTATTACGATTTTGTATCTTGTTTTGGTGAGCCAAAAAACACATTTCCACCCTAGCAGACATTAAAGATCTATTCCATTTTATTTTAATGCAGAGATTTTCACTTTTACACGTCTCGTTAACACCTAAATCCACTTGGTCTATTGCTTGTTGACTGTCTAGACCAGGGGTCACCAACACGGTGCCCGCAGGCACCAGGTGGCCCCCAAGGACCACATGAGTAGCCTGCAGGCCTGTTCTAAAAATGAAAATTGAATATTGATATTATCTGTTTCCCACCTTGTTAAGTCATTGTTGATAATTATTGTGAGAAATCATTAACGCGATCAGTATCTTCACATAGATGAGTATCATTAATCATTAATAATAATATATAACTAAAGGCAAACTGAGCAAATTTGTTATTTCAGAAGAGTGTATCAAACTGGTAGCCCTTCCTATGACTCAGTACCCATGAAGTAGCTCTCAGTTTCAAAAAGGTTGGTGACCCCTGGTCTAGACTATGAAACTATAATCATGCTATACAAAGATGCACAAAAACACCAATGCAAAGCTACACTGAGAAGGGTCTTATGGGTAGCCATAGGTAGCAGAAGCTAGCAGAACAGCAATGCACATACAGTACCTCCTCCTAGATCTTAGTTGTGCAGACCTGCATGTTGATTGGTTGATTGGGTTCTGAATAGAGAATTTATAAATCATTAAAAGGTCCAATGTAAATAATTTAGTGGCATCCAGTGGTGTAGTTGTAGATCCCAACTCTGTTGTTGCAAAAAAAACATGAACACCCCTATATAGAGCCAGTGTTTGGTTTGTCCCTTGATCTTCCTAAATTTTCCACACTGGACCTTTAGGTGTATATGAATTGTACCTTGTAAGGAAGTAAAACTATAAATTGAGCAGCTGACGTCTCGGAACAAATTTCATTGGAGACATCCCAACACATCAGTGCGTCCACATTTCAGCCCAAACAAGGAAAAGTCCGAAGATTTCAGGGAGTAAAAAAAGAGTAGCCAGTATTTTAGACAACTCAAAAGCAGAAATGGGTCACATTGACCTACAGCATAATAAGGGGTAAAGAATTCTGGGAACACATCATCTTTTCGAGCATGCATTTTTTTAAAACTGAACAGTTTCTCACAGTAGAGGCAATCTCTGCAAATATTTGCTCCTTTTCTCATTCTCTCCAATTGAAGCCAATACGACTGACAAATGCAAGTACACATTTCCGAGTTCAAGACCATTTGTGGGTTAATGCTTATGTAAATGCACCTTTAAGGAATACATGTAACAAATGAATCTGCCCGTTGGAGGTCTGGTTTGGATATTATGGCTGATTCCAGTCTGGCTCAGCTGGTGTTGAAGGATCCTAATCTACATTATGATCTACTGTTGTTTCCCCTCATTAAAGTTATTTGAAATTGTGTTTACAGTTTTCCAAAGAAAGTCAGGGTCTTTAATATGGAGCTGCAGGAGGAAGAAATGTCAGAAAACTGTGTCAAGTTTCTGTTATTGCATGATGTATGTGATGTCACGCTCCCTCTCACTACAGAATGTCATTTTAAATCTGTACTGCTACATGCATGTGTGTGAATGTAACCCAAGATGTGACACTGTGTGTGTTTGTGTTTGTGTGTATGGGACTCTGCCAAAATACAAGGACTTGCAGTGATAATCTCAAGGTTTTTTGGCTCCTGATTCTGACCTCTTTTCTTCCATAACTGTTCAATCTCATTAGAGCCACAGACTCACTGATGACTCAATATATTTATAGATGGGCAGTTTGCCCGCAGTATATTTTACGGTTTATGTACATGTTTTCCCTTTAATTAAAACCTCCACAGTGGTCCACATTGACTTTGGTCCAGTTTGGAAATCTCTGTACCTTAAAAACCTTTAATTATCTGGGAAACTTGAGCTACTTTAGAATCTAAACACATTCCAACTGGCAGCTGACCAGTAAAACCACAGATTTTACACTCAGCCACAGCACCACTGGGTCAGCTGTGTCACCTGGATGGCTCTTAATTGGTCATCATGAAAGTAAGTTCTGTGGGAGAGCAGATCATTGGTAATTGGTTGTTCTGTCCCTAGTCCTCTGCTCATCTACAAAGGAGGCTTTTTATTTGTCTTATTTCACGTCTCCTTGCTCCTCTCCATCCACTAATTTCTGTTGGAGGAGCGTGAAGGGATCCTAGAAGAAGGATGGGAAACGATTTACAAAAATGTGCTTCATGAAGGACTTATCAGACTGCACCACTTTATTAGAAATCTGTTAGTGATTGTGAGTTGTGACAACAGTGCAGTTTTATACACATTTGGAAGATGGTAGCAGAGGCTCTGCTTCCCTGCTGGGATCCCTTCAAACTGTAGGACATACACTTAATAATAAAGATAATTAACCACTGAAGATTAATAATACACTCGTAAATGGGGCACCACCTCCGTTATCTAGTTGCTGGAATAATCCGGAGGAAATTAAACCATAGATCTAATCAA